AAATTAAAAAAAAAAAAAAAAAAAAAAAAAAAAAAACCAACTCTTTATGTCTTGATGGTGGTAACAGAATTTAGATTTCACAGACTCGCTGACTCGCTGACTCGCAGTCTCTCAGATGGGCGGGTGCGGAGATTTGGGGGGGGGGGTCAGGGGGGGCAAGGGCGGTCTTAAAGCCATTTCAACGGCTCTTCTTACAGATTGAATTGAACGAACCCAAAGCAAGGGATTCTAAGCAGTGCAAAATAGAGGATTATCAAATAGAACTGGAGTGTGTTCTATCTATCAAGTACGGAGGTCAAAGAACATGAGTGTTCTATCTATCAAGTACGGAGGTCATAGAACTGGAGTGTTCTATCTATCAAGTACAGAGGTCATAGAACTGGAGTGTTATATCTATCAAGTACGGAGGTCACAGGACAGGAGTGTTTTATCTATCAAGTACGGAGGTCATAGAACTGGAGTGTTCTATCTATCAAGTAAGGAGGTCATAGAACAGGAGTGTTATATCTATCAAGTACGGAGGTCACAGGACAGGAGTGTTATATCTATCAAGTACGGAGGTCACAGGACAGGAGTGTTCTATCTATCAAGTAAGGAGGTCATAGAACTGGAGTGTTCTATCTATCAAGTAAGGAGGTCATAGAACTGCAGAGTTCTGTCTATCAAGTAAGGAGGTCATAGAACTGGAGTGTTCTATCTATCAAGTAAGGAGGTTATACAACTGGAGAGTTCTGTCTATCAAGTAAGGAGGTCATAGAACTGGAGTGTTCTATCTTTCAAGTACGGAGGTCATAGAACAGGAGTATTCTATCTATCAAGTAAGGAGGTCATAGAACTGGAGTGTTATATCTATCAAGTAAGGAGGTCATAGAACAGGAGTGTTCTATCTATTAAGTAAGGAGGTCATAAAACAGGAGTGTTCTATCTATCAAGTGCGGAGGTCATAGAACTGGAGTGTTCTATCTATCAAGTACGGAGGTCATAGAACTGGAGTGTTCTATCTATCAAGTAAGGAGGTCATATAACTGGAGTGTTCTATCTATCAAGTACGGAGGTCATAGAACTGGAGTGTTCTATCTATCAAGTAAGGAGGTCATAGAACTGGAGTGTTCTATCTATCAAGTAAGGAGGTCATAGAACAGGAGTGTTCTATCTATCAAGTAAGGAGGTCATAGAACATGAGTGTTCTATCTATCAAGTACGGAGGTCATAGAACTGGAGTGTTCTATCTATCAAGTAAGGAGGTCATAGAACTGGAGTGTTCTATCTATCAAGTAAGGAGGTCATAGAACTGGAGTGTTCTATCTGTCAAGTAAGGACGTCATAGAACTGGAGTGTTCTATCTGTCAAGTAAGGACGTCATAGAACTGGAGTGTTCTATCTTTCAAGTAAGGAGGTCATAGAACTGGAGTGTTCTATCAAGTAAGGAGGTCATAGAACTGGAGTGTTCTATCAAGTAAAGAGGTCATAGAACTGGAGTGTTCTATCAAGTAAGGAGGTCATAGAACTGGAGTGTCTATCAAGTAAGGAGGTCATAGCACTGGAGTGTTCTATCAAGTAAGGAGTTCATAGAACTGGAGTGTTCTAGCAAGTAAGGAGGTCATAGAACTGGAGTGTTCTATCAAGTAAGGAGGTCATAGAACTGGAGTGTTCTATCAAGTAAGGAGGTCATAGAATTGGAGTGTTCTATCAAGTAAGGAGGTCATAGAACTGGAGTGCGTTCTATCAAGTTATGAGGCGGCCATGACAGGTGGTCTATTAAGTAAATAGTTAGAAGGCTTTTAATCCATCCCTAGGCTTATAGGTTGTAAGCGCATTCGGAGATCGGGACAGACCTTTCTCCTTGGATTCAATTCAATTACTGCCTTTAAAAAAACAAAAAACAAAAACATAGCCCAGACCGCAGGAGCCCCATTCTGAAGTCGATATTGTAAACGAAATGAATGGTTTAGCAGACGAGAAGACACAGCAACTAGTGTATCGCTGGCAGTAACTTTGACAGTGTCAATGTAAGCAAGCTATAGGAAGGGGATCTAAAGCAACTGTTATTGTATCTTTCTGTTAAACGGTTTTGGGAGGGGGGGGCAGTGGCGCTTTCTGTCCATTGGATACGCCTCTGACTAGCTAACATGCGATGTTTATTCTGTATGTGTTGTGTTTGTTTTTTTTAGTGTAGTGAGTGACCCGGGGGTCGGGGAGTGACTCAAGACCTAATCGGGCGTCACAAACTCCTGACGTCCAACTGCATCTACCCTATCATTGGGTATTGAACACTCTGCCACTCATTGGTTTTAATTATGAATTTTCTCAGCAACCCTAGAGCACAGTGGTTCTCACCCTTCCCAATACCTTGAGCCTTTAATACAGTTCCTCATGTTTTGGCTACCCCTATCACAAATTTATTTACGTTGCTATTTCATAACTGTAGAGCATATGTCATTGTGTTTTCAGATGGTCTTAGGGGACCCCTGTGAAAGGGTCGTGCGACCCCCAGTTTTAGAATCGCTGCTCTAGCATAAATGTGCTCAGATTTAGATTGTTCTTTATAATGATGGCTTGCATACACGGAAGCGAACGGAATTTCCCTCAAACCGACTGTCTCCATTCGCATTCATAACTTCAGTGTGACGACTCTTGTCTCTGTTCGCGTTTATAACTTCAGTGTAGCAGTTTGAAAAAGCACGAGAGCCGAATTAAGTCAACTCTGGCGCGTATCGCTACAGCTCGCTACAGATCATGTTCCCTGCCAAAAGGAAAGGCCTTTCTCCTTATCTCGGGATGAAAGTCTAAGCATCCGTTAACCGAGCGCACGCCGTGCCGTGTGCAGAGACTGCAGGCCCCGGAGCTTCTGCATGGCATCGTAATTAAATCAATGATCAGATTACTCGCCTGCTATTGTAGCCCGCATTCTCCCCGGCCGCTCATCTCAATTTACTAGTTACTTATCTTTGACAAGAAAAGAAAGTGATGTCCCTTTTCCCCACGTGGGGGATCTGCACCGAAATATAAAATATATCATACATTTTTTAATCTTCATTTTCTTCGTCTCCATTTTTGTATTTCATATTTCGCGTGTGTTTTCTTTACTGTTTATTTATTATTATTTAAAAAATTTTATTTAAGAAGCCCATATTATAAAAATAAAATATTGGAAATGTGCCGATTAAACTCATGTTACAAAATAATAATAATATAATTATACAAGTTTAGGTAACTCGAACATGAAGTTAACTAATGGACTTAATTTTTTTGTTTGTTTTTGTTTTGTTATAATTTTTAAAAAAAACAAACAAATCAATTCATGCGATTCAATAATTTCAGACATAAACACCAACTTAGTGTTAAAAACGATAAAGACGCCTCCCTTCCCTATAGCTTAAGATCCCTCGAGAGAAATTCATGAAACCAGCATACCACGGACGAGAGGAAGCACGGAAATTCCCGAAGAATGACGGAGACAGCTAGAGGCAGATTCTAATGCATCCAATTTGATCGAGACATCCGATAGACAAAACACGTTAACTTCTTTTTTAACCCCTTAACTACCGGACGTGACCTTCGCGCATCAGTGTCAAAGGCGGAAGTGACGTACATGCCGGCATCGGACGATCACCATTTTCTAGGGCTAAAATTCTCTAAAAGTCTGAGCGTGGCGTTTCCGTCTTAGTCCTCCCCCCATCCACCCCCCGAAGCCATTTAATGTCGCAGCCACCCCTGACATGCATGCACCGCTCTCGCGCACCCACCCACTCAGTTGCACCCCTTCCGCACTGCCGTTGATTCTCCGCCGATGGCCGGATTAAATGAGTAGAAGGAAGAGGCGATGACACTGGATAGTTTGATAAGCGCTCTGAGATCCTGCCGACAGGGCGGTCTATCCGTCACGGCTGACAAGTTAGGGGAAACAAAGAAATGAATCGCCGTGATGGAGCCGAGGAAACTGTAGCGGTCGAGATTTTCTTCTTTCTTCATTGGTCGCAAGACCAGCAGACGACCAAAAAAAATTTAGGAATGGGAATCTGCTGGAATTTTTTTGTGATAATTAATTTTTTTTTTGTTTTTTGTTTTTTTGTTGCAATTTCTTAAACTGCATAACGCAAAGAGAGTGTGTGGAGAAAACATATCGAATGAAGCAGTAGAACAAGGTATACGGAAGCTTGAATCGAAAGACAGGACGATAAAGATTCAAAATTCAGCCTACCGTGTTCTACTGTTTCATTCACACAGCCAGAATGCGGTCCGTCCATTGTTGTAGAAAATATATTCAAATATTTATACGCTTTTAAGTTTCTTCTCAATTCATTCTGGTACTCATCCACACGTCTGCACAGTCTTTCTTGGCGGAAGGCTTTGACATAGTTCAGTAGGTTGTTTACATTCTCAATGAAGATACACGACACCAAGGTATCAACATCAGTTACGGTGACATGCATGTTCAACGTTATGGCGATCCTTTTTAGACTGAAGTGTAAATGTGTAAAGGGTTTATCACGTTTACCTTTGATTCTATTTATAGAGAAAATATCCGTATACAGGTGTTACACATTAGACGTGTCTGCGTGTGTCGTCTGCTTTATAGAACGCGTGCACTTTGTACACTGTTACACTGTGTGCCTGACCACATCAAAGCTACAGTATTTAATGTAAAAGAACATTTTGTCAGCTTCCGGTTTGTTCATTGAGCGAAAATCTCAACATCAGACGTTTATTTTTTTTTTACATCACGTGACTAACACAGTTTTGTAGCTAAGAATTTCAGTTTAAAAAAAAACAAAAAACAAATTAACATCAATCTTTGTGTTTCGTTCCCAAACTTAACATCAATCTTTGTGTTCCGTCCCCAAAACTTAACATCAATCTTTGTGTTCCGTCCCCAAAACTTAACGTCAATCTTTGTGTTCCGTTCCCGAAACTTAACATCAATCTTTGTGTTCCGTTCCCGAAACTTAACATCAATCTTTGTGTTCCGTTCCCAAAACTTAACATCAATCTTTGTGTTCCGTTCCCAGGTATGGTTTCAGAACCGCCGCGCCAAGTGGAGGAAGAGGGAGAGGTTTGGTCAGCTCCACACGATGAGGGCCATGGCATCGGCTGCCAACCAGGGCTACGACATGCCCCTGGCCCCGAGACACGAGCCCTATTCACAGATGCAGGTGAGAATAGTTGGACATTGTGTCCGTGGTTGTCACAGTCTTGTCTATGGACAGCCTGTCCGTGGTTGTCACAGTTTTGTCCATCAACAGTGTGTCCGTGGTTGTCACAGTTTTATCTATGGACAGTGTGTCCGTGGTTGTCTCAGTTTTTGTCTATGGACAGCGGGTCCATGGTTGTCACAGTTTTGTCCACGAACAGTGTGTCTGTGGTTGTCACAGTTTTTGTCTATGGACAGCGGGTCCATGGTTGTCACAGTTTTGTCCACGAACAGTGTGTCTGTGGTTGTCACAGTTTTGTCTATGGACAGCGCGTCCGTGGTTGTCATAGTTTGTCTGATACTGAAAGCGCGTCAGTGGCTCATGTCACAGGTTGTCTTATGTGTCATTTGTAACAATCGCCAGTAGAAGTACAATGATTCTCTATGTCACGGGTTGTCTGATGTGTCAGTTGTTACAATTGCTAGTAGAAGTACAATGATGCTTGGCGTAACGTTACACATGATGTGGTTGGCGCTGTCTGTACATTTACGTTGTTTGTCTTTAACTAAGTGATTTGTGTTAACAAAATATATTAATGCGACTTCCTGTCTTGTACCAGAAGTGTCGTAACATGAACTTTGTTTGTTTTCTTCGCCCTCAGAACCCCGACTCGTCCATGATGTGGATGGAGATGTACAATCACTATGGTAACAACATGTGGAACCCTATGTCGGCCATTAAGGGATATCACCTGTCCATGGGTGAGTGTACACCTGTTGAGTCTATCGATGGCATGTTTTAAGAGTTGAGCTTCATAGTGGAGTTTTATGGTGGAGCTTTAAATAGTAGAGTTTTAAAATGGAGCTTTATAGTGGAGGTTTTTTCCAATATTATTTCCTCACCTGTTAAAATTACTGGTACAATTTAACAACCCCCCCCCCCACCAACCACTTTTTTTTTTTGCCATAACAGACGCAGCACAGTCTTTAGGCACAAAGTGGCCGCCAGCCGTACCCCCGATGTACCCCTCGTGGAATGACCCCCAGCTTTTGTACCCGTCACCTCAGCACCAGCACCCGTCACCGGAAGCGTTGCACGGCGCATGCGCGCCCTCCCAGAGGCATGACGTCAATTCCGTGTACGCCCAGGCCAGCAATTTTCAACAGTGTTCGGTAGCCGGACCCGGGGGGCCTTGAGTGCCGCACCGCTGACCCTGTGTCGGTCACTTTCATCGTGTGTCATACCTTTGAGTCTTCAAGCGTGAGTGCCGTACAACGAACTCAACAACTCTTTTAATGGACGTCCGTACATTTTGATAATTTAAAGCACATTACGTTTTGGTGAAATGTCATCAAGGTTCATTTGATTGATGGACTGCACATGAATATGTATATATATATATGTATAGATTTTAATCAAGACATACTTGTGTACATATAATATGTGTTTATATATTCTCATGTATGTAGAATGTGGTTTACTAATGTTGGGGACCTTTAGATTTGTGACAATAGTGCCCTTGTGTATACATGACATTCTGCCTGCGCGTGATGTGACATGGTGACATGCTTGGAACCGTTGGGATGACAGTCCCGGACTGTCGTGTAATGTAGAGCTCCAGTGATCTTAGCCGGGGGATTCTTGAGATTATGCGTAGGATTATACTTGAGATTATCCTTAGGATTATGAATGTTAATGTGACCTCAGTGAAGAAAGGGAAGGGGAAGGGGGGGGGGTACGTCAACCTTTTGAACACACACATGCAATTGAGCACACACATTCTATTGAACGCATACATTCTCTTGAACAAACACATTCTTTCATCGAATGAACACGCCACGCCCACCATATACACATATTGCTGGTGCATACATCATAATTAGAACCAATATTGCAAAAATATAACTTCTGACTATCGAAATTGTTTTCTCATTTTCCGTCCGACTTTTTCATCAGTTCAGTTTTGTATTTGCTAATCCTGAAAGAGATATCTGCGTTGTATCATTCACATTATCACAAAGTCTATTTCATAAGTAATGGCTTAAACATTATAATTAGTAGAAACAATTGTTGACATACCTTGCATCATTGTCTGACAATGTTCGCATATCCTATACAGGAAACCAACCCTTTATTATGTTATTTACACATTTTAAGCTCAAAGTAGACAGTCTCCATCTACTGTCTTACAGTCCTGCTGTCTTACAGTCCTGCTGTCCTACTGTCCTGCTGTCAGAAACAACTAAATTTATTTGCATGCCTTATAATTGTTAACTACCTGACCTTCTGATAGAAAAAAAACCCTGCTATATTTATATGCTTTATAATTGGCCAGCAACTTTTATTTCGATAGAAACAACCAACTATATTTATGTGCCTTATATGTGCCCACCCAATGCCCTTCTGTCAGTAACAACCAACTATATGTAAGTGCCTTATATGGGCCCACCCAATGCCCTTCTGTCAGAAACAACCAACTATATTTATGTGCCTTATATGTGCCCACCCAATGCCCTTCTGTCGGTAACAACCAACTCTATGTAAGTGCCTTATATGGGCCCACCAAACGCCCTTCTGTCAGAAACAACCAACTATATTTATGTGCCTTATATGTGCCCACCCAATGCCATTCTGTCAGAAATAACCAACTATATTTATTATGTGCCTTATATGTCTCCACCCGATGCCCTTCTGTCAGAAACAATCAACTGTATGTAAGTGCCTTATATTTGCTATTTCTATGATGAGCAACTGGTAATGTTATTTGCTGACCTTTTGTAAATAAAATCATTCATATGTCAGCTATGTTCCTAACCTTGCATATGTGTATGATTTAAAATATCCATTGCTATATGTTTTTATTTTTGTAGTTCGCTTTAATCCAGGAAATAAAAATCATCTTACATGATCTAAATATTCTATGCAATAACTGCTAGTCTTAAAAAAAATCCTTTTCTAACATTGGGCTGATTTTGAATTTGTGCTTTATATTTACTTGTCCGTTTTCTACAGGAAATTGTCCACGATAATAATTTGTCTATTATAATAAGTTGTCTTTAATAAACTTGTCCATGAATACAAAGTGTCTATGACAATGAGTTTTGTATGTCAATAAATTTTCTATGACAATGAGTTTTGTATGTCAATAAATTTTCTATGACAATGAGTTTTCTATGACAATACGTTTTCTATGACAATTTGTTTTTTTATGACAATAGTCCTTCTACGACAATACGTTATTTATGGCAATGAGTTTTGTATGTCAATAAATTTTCTATGACAATGAGTTTTGTATGTCAATAAATTTTCTATGACAATGAGTTTTCTATGACAATTTGTTTTTTTATGACAATAGTCCTTCTACGACAATACGTTATTTATGGCAATGAGTTTTGTATGTCAATAAATTTTCTATGACAATGAGTTTTCTATGACAATGAGTTTTCTATGACAATGAGTTTTCTATGACAATTTGTTTTTTTATGACAATAGTCCTTCTACGACAATACGTTATTTATGGCAGTACGTTTTATCTGACAGTGATTCTTTGTCTTGATGATATTTGAATTTGTGTTTCTATGACAACGAAGTGTGTGCTTTAAAACGGGTTTGTCCACGCATCCGTCCGCTGTGACGATACCTTGTGGTGTCCATCAGGGGCGTAGCTAGGGTTGGTTTCACCCGGTAAACTCATGGTGTCCCCCCCCCACCCCCCCCCCAAAAAAAAAAAAAAAAAAAAAAACTTCCACGATGGGTTTCTTCTTGTTAAACTAAGTCCACAGTATAACAATGACAAGAACAAAAATAAATTAATTGAAGGTCAGGAGGTAAATCGGTCAACACTTTGTCAAGAGTAACACCTTCCGTCTGCAAATACTGCTGAGCAAAATTAAATTCATCATGTAGATCAGCCCAAAGGTGAAGGTAGCGGAAAAATGTGAAATCAGATACAGCATCTAAAATACCTTGTGCTGTACCGCTTGTATCATCGCAGACAGTATCTACAAGACATTGTGCTCTACCGCTTGTATCATCACAGACCGCATCTAAAAGACCTTGTGCTGTACCGCTTGTATCATCACAGACAGCATCTAAAACACCTTGTGCTGTACCGGTTGTATCATCACAGACAGCATCTAAATACCTTGTGCTGTACCACTTGTATCATCGCAGACGGCATCTAAAAGACCTTGTGCTGTACCGCTTGTATCATCACAGACAGCATCTAAAAGACCTTGTGCTGTAGGGCTTGTATCATCACAGACAGCATCTAAAAGACCTTGTGCTGTACCGCTTGTATCATCACAGACAGTATCTAAAAGACCTTGTGATGTACCGCTTGTATCATCACAGACAGCATCTAAAAGACCCTTTGCTGTACCGCTTGTATCATCACAGACAGCATCTAAAAGACCTTGTGCTGTACCGCTTGTATCATCACAGACAGCATCTAAAAGACCTTGTGCTGTACCGCTTGTATCATCACAGACAGCATCTAAAAGACCTTGTGCTGTACCGCTTGTATCATCACAGACAGCATCTAAAAGACCTTGTGCTGTACCGCTTGTATCATCACAGACAGCATCTAAAAGACCTTGTGCTGTACCGCTTGTATCATCACAGACAGCATCTAAAATACCTTGTGCTGTACCGCTTTTATCATCACAGACAGCATCTAAAAGACCTTGTGCTACCGCTTGTATCATCACAGACAGCATCTAAAAGACCCTTTGCTGTACCGCTTGTATCATCACAGACATCATCTAAAAGACCTTGTGCTTTACCGCTTGTATCATCACAGACAGCATCTAAAAGACCCTGTGCTGTACCGCTTGTATCATCACAGATAGCATCTAAAAGACCTTGTGCTGTACCGCTTGTATCATCACAGACAGCATCTAAAAGACCTTGTGCTGTACCGCTTGTATCATCACAGACAGCATCTAAAAGACCCTGTGCTGTACCGCTTGCATCATCACAGACAGCATCTAAAAGACCTTGTGCTGTACCGCTTGTATCATCACAGACAGCATCTAAAAGACCCTGTGCTGTACCGCTTGCATCAGCACAGACAGCATCTAAAAGACCTTGTGCTGTACCGCTTGTATCATCACAGACAGCATCTAAAAGACCTTGTGCTGTACCGCTTGTATCATCACAGACATCATCTAAAAGACCTTGTTCTGTACCGCTTGTATCATCACAGACAGCATCTAAAAGACCCTGTGCTGTACCGCTTTTATCATCACAGACAGCATCTAAAAGACCTTGTGCTGTACCGCTTTTATCATCACAGACAGCATCTAAAAGACCTTGTGCTGTACCGCTTTTATCATCACATACAGCATCTAAAAGACCGTGTGCTGTACCGCTTGTATCATCACAGACAGCATCTAAAAGACCCTGTGCTGTACCGCTTGTATCATCACAGACAGCATCTAAAAGACCTTGTGCTCTACCGCTTGTATCATCACAGACAGCATCTAAAAGACCTTGTGCTTTACCACTTGTATCATCACAGACAGCATCTAAAAGACCTTGTGCTTTACCGCTTGTATCATCACAGACAGCATCTAAAAGACCTTGTGCTGTACCGCTTGTATCATCACAGACAGCATCTAAAAGACCTTGTGCTTTACCGCTTGTATCATCACAGACAGCATCTAAAAGACCTTGTGCTTTACCGCTTGTATCATCACAGACAGCATCTAAAAGACCTTGTGCTGTACCGCTTGTATCATCACAGACAGCATCTAAAAGACCTTGTGCTGTACCGCTTGTATCATCACAGACAGCATCTAAAAGACCTTGTGCTGTACCGCTTGTATCATAACAGACAGCATCTAAAAGACCTTGTGCTGTACCGCTTGTATCATCACAGACAGCATCTAAAAGACCTTGTGCTTTACCGCTTGTATCATCACAGACAGCATCTAAAAGACCTTGTGCTTTACCGCTTGTATCATCACAGACAGCATCTAAAAGACCTTGTGCTTTACCGCTTGTATCATCACAGACAGCATCTAAAAGACCTTGTGCTGTACCGCTTGTATCATCACAGACAGCATCTAAAAGACCTTGTGCTGTACCGCTTGTATCCAACGTCACAAGAGCCTCACACGGGTCCTCAAATCACCGCCACACGTTCATCAAACCCATCTTTCACTGTTTCAACAGCAGCATGATGAGCACTCCAACGTCTTGTTGGCAGACTTTCTCCCCCGATATTCCAATGTGTTCAGCTTGGATTGGTCACCTGTCTGGACAATTTAAGCGTGATCGGTTATCATTAGGACGAGTTTTGCATGTTCAGTAAATATGAAAGTTTTCAATTTCAAAAGGTGTCACCTGGTGCGGTCCGGTTCCCAGCACCCCCACCCCCCCCCCTAGCTACGCCACTGTTGTTGAGATAATCTCACGTCTGGTGTAAAGTTAAGTATATGTTAAGTGAATATTATGAAAAGCATTGTAAACACACACACACACAAAACAACAACAACAACAAAGAAGCATGAGCCGTCAACCAGTACTGAATAAAGAAATTATGGAAAGAATGGCCAGGTTGTCTTGCTTTAGTTTTTTGAGATATTGTTCACTTATCGAAGTAAAATTTTAAATGACGTCTCAACAACTTAAAGGGGCGATATGGTGAGTTTTGTTTACAAATTAAAAATACAAATCATCCATGGATGAACAGCTCCAAGGGGCTCGGGTATTTAGGCATCTT